AGCCCACAGGAGCTCCTTGCACTTTCCTGGAGCTGTGCTGCAAACTGCCAGCCCAAAACTCCCCAGGGCCCAGCCTTAGCAGCAGCCCTCGCTCTCCTGGGGGAAGGGACCACAAGGGATGAGGTGAGTTAGCAGCAGCATCAAGCCCATGCCGTGGTGTGACCTGCAGGCAGGCCCCAGCCCTCCAACTTACTTAGTGGATTCCTTGAAGAGCTCCTTGGAAGGTTCCTGCTCCAGCCTCTCACAACAGGCATCGACCAGCTGCGAGGGAACTTCAGGCACATAGTCCTCACTCTGGGGACAAAGGGATGGAGTCAGACATAGGGAGCAGAGCCCAAAGGTCCTCCCAGGAAGGAGAAGCCTGTCAGAACAGCACACAGGTACCCATCTGCTTTAGGGCCAGTGGGAAAAGCAGCATGGTTGCTTGTGAAATGGTGGGGTGGCCTGTACTCTGCCCTCACGGTCCTGCCCAGCATGTTTGCTGTGGCAGGACACGGGTAATGACAGCTGTAAGCTTTGCAGCTGCTCTGCCATTGCAGGCAGCAAACACAACCCTCTTACTCACGTTTGGTTTCAAGTACTTTTCAATCAGGTGCTGTCCACATTCCTTCCGCTTCTCATCTGGAGCCACCTCGTACCCTGCCTGCACAGAGCAAACAGCGTGAGCAGTAGGTCCAGCCAGGAACCGAGCCTGGCTACCGGGCAACAGCTGCAGAGCAGCAACAGCCTCTGCCCAGGGTTTCCCATGCTTTCCTGGAAAACCACATCTCCAGCAAACAGCTCCCTAAGCAAAGGGCCAGCCCTATCTCGGAGAAACTGCAACTCACAGGTTTTTCCTTCAGGAAAACCTTACCTGCCCAGAAGTACCTGGCAACCGCCCGAGTGCCCAGGGCCAACCAGTCCATGCCCAGGGCACCAAGAACATCCCTGCCTCCCCCAGTGAAGCCCGACTGGCTTTGCTCTTACCACGGCATCCAGGAACTTGACACAGCGTGACAGCTCAGGTCGTGTCTCGCAGAACTGCTGAAAGAGCACGTGCCCGATGGGCTGCTTCTCACACAGGCTGTGGTAGTCCCGCTCTGTAAATGTGGAGAAGATCACTCACTGACAACCCCCAAGCACCAGCCACAGCCCACTGCCCTGGCCACACGCAGCGGTGGAGAGGCTCACGACTCATCAGCCGGCTGCTCACAAGTCCCACCAGCATGAAATGCACCCGACAGGGACAAGAGGCATGACTGAGCTTTTACATTCCCCTATAGAAGATCCTCTTCCCTGAAAGAGATTTGAACGGCTGTTCTGTACAGCCTATCCCTCTTGTTTCTAGCAAGGGACCTTGGTGTCTCCTGCTTGCCTGGAGGCTCTCTTCTCAAACATGTCCCTGCAGAAATTGACTGACTAACTCCAGAGATACAACTTTCCTTGGAACATGAGGAATACACCAAACTTATTTTGAGGCAGATGTTCCAGGTCAAGAGTTTCTCTGATGACTCTTACAAACCACTCGTATTCCCAAAGGCCCTGCTGGAAGCAGCAACATCAAAACAGAGGACACCATTAATTCTGCACACAGCAATTAGATGCCCCACTCCATGGGACAGCCACTCACTTGTATGTCAGCTGCTACTGCCCTCGGGAGCTCGGCTTCCTGCTGATTCCTCCTACCCCTCTCTGAAGTCTGGCAGCCCAGGCACAAACCCCTTTGACTATCCAGAGAACTTCCAGTTCTCTGCTTTTTTTTCCCTCCCCTTCTACTCATAAGATGTTGTCTGATCACGGGCCAGAAGAGATTTCTGTTACAGCCACTGAGGGCTGTGGGCTGCTCAGGGTGCAGATGTGCAGCCACCCACTAGCACGCAGGGGATCTTCCAGCCCTCCCCGGGGCTGGGCACTGCCGGCCTTCCCCTCCTCACGCAGAAGCTTCTCCCGAGGAAGCTGTGGCTTCCTGAGGGTGCACGAGAGCGCGGAGATGGCCGGGCTGTAGTGGGGGAGGAGGCTGCCTTGCCAGCTCCGCTGCACTGGCCGGTTTCTTTGTGTCTGCAGGGGAAGGAGTTCCCTTCAGCTGGGGACGGTGAGAGTTTGCTGACGGAGAGATCGGATGCTTTCAGCTCCCCTTGCCGCTGCCCAGGCTCTCAGGAGATTGCTCTCTGTGGCCAGGGCACAGAAAGCTTAATCCTGCAGTGGGCAACCAGCCCACCACAGCCACAGTCCTGCCAAGCCTCTGGAACAGGAAAGAAATGCCTTTCTAGCAGGCTGCAAGGGGAGAACAAAACCACTCCAGCCAAAGAGTGACAGGGAAACCAAGCAAGGTGGCCACAATCTGGGCCAGAAGCACTGCTCATGTGCCTCCCCAAGGGCAAGTGGGCACACGGGTGGTGACAGCCAGCAGCTGGGAGGGACCTACCTCCCAAAGCATCATAAGGTCACTGTCCCGGACAGTGGGACAGCAGAGACAGACAGACCACCAGCACTCATCACCAGCAAACAGGCAGCACAACAAAGGTGAAGTTCAGTGCTAGAAAACATGTCACGACACTCACAGGAAGGGTGGCTGCAGGCAGAGGACAGGTACCACCTGAGGGAAAGCTCTGCTGAGGACAGACAATTGGAGAAGCAGATAGGGGTTGGGATGGCCAAGATGGGAGCTGCAAGGAGAGCCCATGCCAGAGCAGTGTTCGGTGCTCAGAACTTGCTCCAGAGAGGCAGTTTGCAGCAAAACCAAGGGTAGGGTCCCCATCTGACTACACTCGGCTGTGAAGCCCCAGGAGGTGGTTGTGAAGCCCCAGGAGGTGGTGCACAGCGTGCACAGGAGCAGAACCAGGCTGATGTGAGCTTGGAGGTTACAGTGCAGATGATGGAGGTTGAGTTATTCCAAGTGCTACAGTCCCACGTGCCCTGAAAGGGAGCTACTCCTCTCCTTGGGGCTGCCAGGACCTGGAAAACCTGGGCAGGGTGGAGCTGGGGACTGGAGCTGCAGAAACCTCCCAAACTCACTCAGTCCAGTGACATCTGCTCTGAAACAAGGCCAGGGCTGTGCCACTCTCCAGCTGGCAGCTGAATCCCGAGTGATAACTTAAACAAGCTCTCCCCTTCCCAGGAACCAGAGCATTCCCACCCCCTGTGCCCCAAAACAATTTCACATGATCTCAGGACCAAGCCTGCTGCACAAACAACATTAAAAGCATGAAGAGTACAAAGTGCAGTATTAAAATGACAGGCCAAGCCCTGCCCAGCCATACAATTCTCATCTGTACTGCACAGCAAGAGCCCAGTTTTGCCCGAGAAAAGCTGCTGCATTAGTGTTAGAAGCCGAGGTCTGCAAAGCAGGGCTGATTCCCAGACAGAGAGTCCAGAGGACGTTAGCAGGACCTTTATTGTTTATGCAAAGGCTCCCCAGAGTGATGTTCCAAAACTCTGCAAGACCGAGCACACCTGTTTGCTCAGAGAAAGTGGCGTATCTCTAGTGAAGCTCACAGCCTGGAAGGTGTGTGGGTAGATCAACAGGCGTTACCTGGTGAGCGCCACGCAGCTGTGACTTACCTACCCATCATTTCTCCCTTGCACCCCGAGCTCCGAGTGATCCTGGCTGGGCTTTGGCCGACATGTGCCCCATTACACACCCCTGACCCTCACATGACTCGGTTTTGGGTGCACAACACCCACACAGGCTCACCCAACGGCCCTGCTCCGGAGCAGAGCCTGGGCGCTGCTCAGCTCCCGCCAGCCACTGCGTCTCACCGAGGGTTTGCCGAAGATCCTCACAGAGGCTGATGTGGGGGAACTGCAGCATCTGGCGCCATTTCTTACTCTTGCCTTTCCGGTTTCCGCCACCACCTGCGGGACACACAGAATTGGTAACCTGAGTTATGAAGCAAAGACGTCTGACAGCAGCTTAGCCTTGCCAGGAGCCAAGAGAGGAGACACCCTCTGTCCACTTACACGAGCAAGCCCAGGCAAGGACAACAAGACAGAAGTGGTACCGCCGTCTGCTGGCTGGTGGAACAAAACTGTTGGAGCCTCTGAGTGCCAGAGGAAGCGGACGGACCAACCACTCTGTCTGCTGAGCAAAGTCAGTCTCCTCTGGAGACATTCAAGACCGGCTTGGACACCTTCCTGTGTGATCTCATTTAGGTTCCTGCTCCGGCAGGGGGATTGGACTGGGTGATCTTTTGAGGTCCCTTCCAATCCCCAACATTCTGTGATTCTGTGACCTTTCACATGGGCATCTCAGCTAATTCCTATTTCAGACGGGAGACTCAGAGGGCAGGGGCAGGAGTGTCTGAAGCCACAGGCTACTCTACTCCTTCACAAGAGTTCGTGGCTCCCCGGCTTGTAAGAGTTCTTGGCTCCCAGGCTCGTCCTCAGGACCTCTTGAGGCCAAGCTGTGCTTGGCATGAAGCTCTTCCTGCTGTAGTAAGGATGTTCATGCCACCTACTCATTCCAGACTGATTGCTTACTCCAGGGAGGGGCTCTCAGAGGGAGGACAAGAAGCTGGGAGACAGGAATTCCTGCTCTAATCCCAGCTCCACAGACAACTCACTGCATCGCCTGGGGCTCATCACTTCAGTTTCCCACCTGTGAAGTGGGGACACTCCCACCTTTCTCCAGAGATAAGCCAGCCTCAGAAAAGCAAGATCCAAGAACCAGATATTATTCCAATTTCAGTTGCTGGAGTAAATGCCCAGTGCTGTAGGACAGGGTGGGAAAGCTTTTAGATAGCCCAAAAAATTTACATCACAGCAAGCACTAAGTACTGAAATAGTCGTAGGCCTGATTGCTGGGATCAGCCAGCAGCCTCCAGGGATTGCCTGCCCCCAGCTCGGTGCCAACAGACACACAGCCTCCCACCTCCCTTTGGAAATACACGAAACCACCCCACCGAGCTGGGCCAATGGCTTTCTGAAACCAGGGGGGTTTGAACGTCATTTATCAGCTCTTGAGAAACAGTCCATAGCACTTTCCTCCACTGTGGATGCAATTCAGCCCCTAATCCCAGACACAGTCCCCGGGCACCGGGCTCCCTGCGCCGCAGGAGGCCTTGGCTGGACAGGCAGGTGGGATGGGGCCATCACAATTTGCCTTCTGCAGGGCCAGCCCCAGGTCCCAGCCCCTGGCACGCTGCAGGTCACCGCGCTCCGTCTGCCCCGCAGCAGCAGCAGCAGCTGGGCTGTACGACTGTACAAACTCAGGAAGGAAGTGACTCAAGGGTGAGCAGGGGTGGAAGAAACCAGCAGCACAGACACCTTCTTGTCAGCCAGGGCTTGCAGCGACGAAACGGACGGGGACAACTGAGTGAGAGCACGGAAGGACAAGCCATCCTCACCCCAAGAGCACTCAAGGAAAGGCAGAGCAATGCCCCGCAGCGCCAGGAGGGCGAGGACTGGCAGCTTGCATTTCCTCGAGTTGTTTGCTCTGAAAGGAGGCTCCAGTGCCCTGCACGCACGGTTCTTCCCCGCCCTCCTGGTGCTACAGGAACAGCCCAGTGGGGAACGTGTCTCCTGTCCACCAACCTCCCAGCACCGTTTTCAGGATGGGGCAAGGGGTGAGCCATCTCCACTCAGAGCTCACCACAAGGGAGCTTCAGGGCTTGGGGACAGCTCAAAGCTGGTCTGTTGTCCCTCTGCCAGCAGCCAGCAGGCAAGGGGGACAACAGGGGAAGGATCCTTCACCTTCCCTGGGCCAAACCCCCCTGGCAGAGTTTGAAGGAAAGGTAAAGCATGGTCACCTTGTGGCAGCAGCTGAAGAGGGCTGGCAGCAGCCCCACCAGCACGTCCGGGGCGATCTCAGCCCTGCACTCCCACAGCAGACCAGGACGCTCCCAAAAAGGCTGGGATGGGACAAAGCATGGGGTGCTGTCAGACCCGGCCAGCAAAGTGTCTCTGTTCTGTCACACAGGCTGCCAGCTCATCCCAGTGGCCACCACGGCCACCCAGCCATGGGTGAGTGACCTGTGTATGGGCAGCACAGCCACCCATGGCTCTCACAGGCCAGGAACTGCGTGGCACGAGCGTGCCAGTGGATCGTGTTTGCCCGCAGCCAGTCTGCCGAGGCTGAGGGACCAGAGGAGCCCTGGGAAGCACCGCAACAGCCGTCCAACTCCGTTGTGCCCAAGGCATGACAGGAGCCAGTCTCCTGGTCACCCACTCCGTGAAGCAGGGCCTCAAGTCCTCAAATCCCAAATGCTGCTGTTTGGTTTTGAACCAGACCTTGCCGTTATGAACCATACTGTCATGGTCCACCATGGTCACTGTGCCTGAAGTACCTCCACTAAGCTTGATTTTCAAGCAGCTCAAAATGTTTCTGCCTGTGTGAATTGAATTTCATTGCTCTTTGCTCCCACAAATCTGATCTCTAGAGCCCTCTAACCAGATTTCAGTGATTCCACAATGACTTGGTCTGGCCAGCCCCGTACCGTGGGCCAGGAGGGACTGCACTTCCCCACCAATTTAAGTGATCTAATGAACTCCCCGACGCCTGGCTGAAGCTGATCTTCTTCTCTTCAAAGGACCAGGCTCCTGTGTGGAGACTTCCCAGCTTTCTCCTTCAGCCATCCCGAGCCCTCCCTGCACCCCGGAACTCGGCCGTGACCCCTGAAGCAGCAGGAGGTTTGTGTCCCCACAGCAAAGCTCCCGGCGCTGGTGTGAGGGTGGCAGAGGGGCGGGTTTCACCGCTGCACTTTCGGGACCGGTCTGAAATCAACTTTTTCCTCCCAAAGCTGCTTTTCCCCTCTGCCGGAGGAGCCAGGGCCGCCTCCGGGAGGGGTGAGGCCGAGGCCCGGGAGGCAGGCGGAGGCCGCGGGGCGGTTCCCACAGGTCGAGGCAGCGAGACCACCCCAGGAGGGCTCAA